TAGCCAGAGGTTGTTTGGTTTCCCCGATGTATAAATCCTGGCAATCCTCCTGCACTTAACAGCGTACACTATGTTACTCTGTTTGTGTCGGGGACCCGATCCTTGGGGTGGACCAAGTTTTGGCGCAGCGTGTTTTGCGGTTTAAAAGCCACAGAGACTCTTTGTTTAAAAAGGACGTATTAGGATAGGTCAAAGAAATCAAAAGATGTAGACCAAAAACAAAAGTACATTACAGAGGACATAAATGAATAGGCTGGTTCTCAGGAGGTTAATCCATGGTCTCATGCCAAAGGCAACAACAAAAGTTACAAATAATTTCTCAGTTTCCCATCCAAAGTTGCAAGGCTCATCTTCCAGCCTGTTCCCTTCAACTTTTAGTTTATATGTTGAGATGAAGTTGGGGAAAAGACACAGACAAAATATCATCTTCTCTTGTCCAGGTTGCCAGTTTTCCCTTCAAGGGAAACACCAGCTTCTTAATCATCCTTCCCAGAGGAAACCTGTTGTCAGTGCTTTCCAAACTAAACATCTCCGACCTCTACAGATCTCTACCTCAGGAAAAACTGATGCAGGTGAACTTGCCTAAATTGAAGCTGAAGTACCAAAAGGAGCTCCAGGCGGCTCTGACCAACATGGGTAAGAAACTGAACGAGTCACTGAAGACATCTTGAATTTTGAGGATTTCCTTGGTCTTTGGACTTACAGTTGAGGACAAAATTGTTAGTCCTGTTATGAATTTTGGATGAACACCGAAACAAAATTATTAAACAAACAAACAAACAAAAAACATAGTAGGGCTAAAGTTTTTAGGTCTCCTGATACTGACAGCCCGCAGTCACTTGTTGTAGTTTTCAACACATCTCATATGCTTCTCCTGAGCAATCCCAGCCCATTCTTCTATGGCAAGTCTCTCAAGCTCCTCCAGATTTTACGGTCTTCTGACATTTACCTTCAGTTCATCATACACTGGAAGATTTTATATTTCAAAATAAGTTTTTCTGTCAAAAGTGTTTCCAAATGGGTGTTAAAGGGGGTGGATGTAACCTATTCAACCCTAGATGGCTCCCTACAATCGTACTGTGGGTGCTCTACAGAGAAACTTTTAGGTGACATTTGACTAATCAGACAGTTGAAATTCAGTATTTGCAACCACAATAAATCAGAATCAGAATCAGAATACTTCATTGATCCCTGGGGGAAATTATTTTCATTATAAACCAACATAAACCAACATTAAGACAAGACAGACAATATGCTAACTAAGAATAGTACAATATATACATACATAAGTCACTCATAAATAAATAGCTGGAAAAGAAACATGTGTAGCTGTAGCAGTAACCAGTGTGTTAAGTGGATGCGTTGTACAGGGAGCCACAGGCAGGAAAGATTTCCTGTGTCGTTCAGTGGTGCTTTTCAGGTAATCTCAGTCTCTCACTGAACGTGCTCCTGTGACTGACCAGCATGTCATGGAGTGGGTGGGAGGTGTTATCCAACATTGTCTTTATCTTGGACAGCATCCGCCTCTCCGACACCACCTTGAGGGAGTCCAGCTCCATCCCCACAACATTGCTGGCCTTACGGATCAGTTTATTAAGTCTGTTGGCATCTGCGTTGGTTGAGTGCCACTTAAAGTTGTATTTAAACGAAATGGAACAACAGATAGCAGTTGTCCAACAGTAAAGTTCAGAATTTATTGACTCTTTATGAAACCGTGTAGCTTTGAGGTCAACGTTATGGAAGTTGAGATACCCACAGATTATACTGGCACCCTAACTAAACTAGTTTGTCAGCACCACTCAGAGTCAGGATGGGTTTTATTTTAAAGATACTGCACAAACTTCAGAATGCTGATATGCTCACTTCTCTTCATTGCATCCACCATATTGTCTTTTAAAGGCTTACATGAACTCAATTATTCACTTGCACACTTTAACACACAGAAACACATGTACTTAAAAGCCTTCGAGCAAGACAGGGTAAAGATACATTTTTTATGCCTTAGTTTAGATTTCAAATTTGCCTTATGTTATTTGGCTTTGACCGTTGACTGTCTCTCTCTCTCTCTCTATATATATATATATCTATATCTCTCTCTCTATATATATATATATCTCTCTCTCTCTCTCTATTATTATATATATATATCTATATATATATATATATATATATATATATATATATATATTTTATATTATATATATTACTATATTTAGTGCTGTCAATAGATTTAAAAAATTAACTAATTAATTCTACAATTTTCTGTATTAATCGCAATTACTTGATCAATAACCTGGCTCCAATTACATTTTTTCAAGTTTATATTTTAAGATTGTAACAGACATTTATGCAACAATGAAGTAAATGCTGAATAAACACAAAGAATTTATGCTGAAATTCAAAGAGAATTTTAATAGTTTTCATCAATCTTTAACACAGTGAAAACTTACAAAAAAACCTTTAACCCTAAAGCCGGTCGGAGCGGGCACGCTCTGTTTGTAACTATTTTTAAATCCCGGTAGCACTGCAACCACATAAGCTAGCGCAATAATTTGTTTTGCATATGAAACCGGAGGAGTTGTACTTACATCTTATGCCATCAGCTTGTCCTCGGTCACGGTTTCCTTCCACATATAGCTTTGCAAAAATTGCATAAAAAGCACTTGCAGCAACAAAAACATAATATTCCAGAAACACGCTTTGCCGATCCGATCAGCTGTTCGTAACACTTCCTACGTTGGAATAGACATCAGCGTGAACTATCGCATGTCCATTACCTGCCCTTGACGTAAGTGACGTCATTATTATTATATATATATTATATATATATATATATATATATATATATATATATATATTAAATACAAAATATGGTGGCTAACCAACCGGACATAGTGGTGGTAGACAAACAGAAGAAGACGGCCGTAGTGATCGATGTAGCGGTTCCGAATGACAGCAATATCAGAAAGAAGGAACACGAGAAGCTGGAGAAATACCAAGGGCTCAGAGAAGAGCTCGAGAGGATGTGGAGGGTGAAGGTAACGGTGGTCCCCGTGGTAATCGGAGCACTAGGTGCGGTGACTCCCAAGCTAGGCGAGTGGCTCCAGCAGATCCCGGGAATAACATCGGAGATCTCTGTCCAGAAGAGCGCAGTCCTGGGAACAGCTAAGATACTGCGCAGGACCCTCAAGCTCCCAGGCCTCTGGTAGAGGACCCGAGCTTGAAGGATACTGCTTGCAGGGATCTCATAATCAATTATAATTATGAGAAATTATTGCCCTTAAAAATGTAAAAGGTTGCAATTTTTTCGTGCAGATAAAACAAAAAAACTAGTGCTGTTAGCAATAATCTCGTTAAAATGACCTTAACGCCATAACTGCATTAACGCGGCAAATCTCCGTTAACGAGTTACCGCGGATCACCCCGTGCATGGGGCTGGACAGCGTCAACGCGTTAGCGTGGTAAGCTCGTTAACGGGATGATAATTTTAATGAGATTAACAGTGACAGCACTACAAAACATATCAATTTCTAAAATGGAAACCAATAAAAAGTGCATTCTGA